CACACAGAGAAACACACAATGCAACCCTTACACATAAAGACAATGCATCCTTTGCACATATACACAGAAACACACAACGCATCCCTTACACACACATGCAAACACACACTGCTTCTCTTACACACACACACACAGAAACACAATGCATCTCTTACACACACTCAACGCACCCCTTACAGACACACACACTGCATCCCTTACATACACAGAAACACACTTTGCATCCCTTATGCATACAAAACACAGATTCACACAATGCATCCCTTACACACAACAAGAAACACACAATACATCCCTTACACAAACACTCACTGCTTTCTATCCCTTACACAAAAACACACTGCTTCCACTACACACAAACACACTGCATCACCTACACAAACTGGTATCCCTATACACTACATTCCATAAGCACACACATTAGATCCTCTACAGTAACACATAACACATCCCCTACACACTCTACTCCCTGTGAGTTCATGGGTGGAACATGTAGGTGGACTTATGGGTGGGCTTTATGGGCATACTCACCGTCAGGCCCTGGGGCTCAGACCTTGAGCTATGTAAGAGGCCCCCAAAAATGGAGCTGCTTCCCATTCTCCCAGAACATTGAATTTTGTGACCACAGTTACAAACAGCCTCCAGAGAGCCTGTTCTACACCAGACCAGTGGAGCCAAACTGCAGCCAGAGCCCATCATCATCCTCATCTGATTGTAAGTAGGCAATCTAGTATATTATTAGTGACACTAATCTATAATGTACCTCACATTAAAGAAACACTATAGTCACCAGAACCACTGCAGCTTAATAAAGTTGTTCTGGTGTCTATAGTTTGTCCCTGCAGGCTTTTTAATGTAAACACACACTGTGTGCAGCACTGGCATTAGTTCATATGGGTGGGGCATTGCGATGTTCCAGGTGGGGGGTGGAGGGGGCGGTAAAAAATCCTTGCACCGGCCCTGTTAGCAGTATATGCTTGCACAATTATCTCTCCAGTACAGCAATGCATGATGGGAAATAGCATTACAGGTTACGTTTTCCACAGAGTCCACCAGGGGAAAACCCCTGCAATGTCAGTACGGAAACCTCTTGCATGGGGACTTGCATATAAACGGTTGCATTGGAATAAAAGCTCAGTTGACTCCCAAACTGTGTGTCGTCTAGTTCTTGGGAAAAAGGGATTGTATTTACGCTACCTGTATTTTGTATGCTGAATCCTGACTACCAGCGGAGATACCGTGGATTACACTACTACTCAATTACATCATTAACTATTTCAGTAAGTGTTTAGGTTGACTTCACCAAAGAATATGTTTGCTTACAAAAACGATTTTTGGGGGGGCTCTAAAGTGATTGCAGACCATATATTTTGGGAGTACCAAGATGGCCACAGACCATGTGCTCCCTATACATTTGGGGAATTCTTCTTAACAGGAATCCCCACAACAATGTAGTATTTTACAACCCCATTTTCATTAACTAGCAGAGTTACTTTAACAAAAAAGCAAAGCAAAGCTTTATTGTAATTGATTTGGCAGAGTTATATCCTAGGAGCTAACCACCAATTACAACAATCACTCAGAAACTTGCAAAGATAATAAATGTTGTTAAAGATTTTAAAAGATATAACAAATTAAAATAAACATTACAACTAAATACAGACAGAACATTAATACTGAATTAGTACATACATATTTTTACACATGTGGAACAGGAGAGAGAAGCAGTTCATAATTCCTGTAGCTTTATGTGGGTCTCTCTCTTCTACTCCAAGATGACAATCCCTCTCAGGTTAGACCCTGGGATTAAATAGCCCATTGCTTGCCCACTAAATTGCAAATTCTCCTCTTAAAGCATGAATCTTAGAAACAGTTAAACTGTAGATTTCCAGTTACCAGGGTTTTAAGAGTAAACTGTTGAGTTATAACTGTATAGCATCAGTTACCAGAACTACAGGAGCCTTTCCTTTGTTTGAGACTAACCCTTTGAGAGCTGAAACTGTCACTTATCCAGGGAATATTTGCTAAATGGTGAGTTATGGGTGCAAAATCACAAATAGCATTAAAAATGTTACTCATATTTGATGTCCATAAAAACTAAGGTATATCATTATATCAATTTTTAATATCTAATTTTCTGCCTATGTTTACTTGTATTCTCTTAATTGTTATACTTAATGCACCTTAGAATGTTTTATAAAGTATGCTTTTTTCTTAGATTTTTTAACCAAGCAAACTGAAGTTAATTAAAGTATAATAAAAATATCAGAAATGATACAGTTTTAATACTTATCCAACCCGCAGCTATCTTTCTGTGATGATGCTAGAACACATGTGGAACTTGAATTGACCAGTTGTAAGATCTATACCCTGTCAATAGAGTTTATTTTCTGCTACATATAGACACCGAGCAAATATTTGGACCAGATGACAAAGAACTAGTGCCAGCTGCGTACTTCTGGCCTCAGATATTCAACAGATTTATGCTCTGCCATGTTAAAATGGTCTGGCAAATCTTTGAGTTGACTGGTCAAGTTGAGCATCCAAGGGCCATACAAATGCAGATTCTACCATTGTCCGTGATTTTCTGATCCAGACTACAAGTGACCAAAACCTCAAACCCAACACACATGGAGTCTACAGTTGTGGTCACAAGGAATATTTCAGCATCCCCCTCAACACATTTTGTCCACTTTCACAATTTAAAATGACACTTTTAATCAGAGACATATTAGTGGTAACACCCTTTTTTTCAACTCAAGAGGGTGTATTTCCTTAAAGAGGAAAATATTGAGAACTGTGGGCCTTAAGGACTACCTAACATATATGGCATTTGCTGCACATAGTGGCCAAAAGTGAAATAGGGAGATAGTATTGTGCCACTTGTTAATTCCTTACTTAAAGGGGCACTATAGTTACCATGACAACTACAGCTTATTGAATTTGTTCTGGTGAGTAGAATCACTCCCTTCATACTTTTGGCAGTAAACACTGTCTTTTTCAGAGAAAAGGTAGTGTTTACATTACAGCCTAGTGATACCTCCACTGGGCACTCCTCAGAAGGCTACTAGAGGTGTTTCATGGGGCAGTGCTGCACACTGTGCAGTACTGCCATTCTGTGTCTCCACACTCTGCATGGAAACACTGAACTTTCCTCATAGAGATACACTGATTCAATGCATCTCTATGAGGAGATGCTGGTTGACCAGGCCTATGTTTGGCTATAGGAAAGCATTGTGATTTGTTCTGATCACAACTTCTGATGAT